TCTACAATAGGTTACATTTGTTGTTGAAATGAAAATATAATGTGGTTGTGTCTAATACATAATACATTATATCGTCGAAAAGTTGTGACGATAGACCAGTCCGTGACTTTATTATTACCGTATTAATGTATATAATATTATATGCGTGTTCTACAATTTTACATACATATTAAATACACCAGTCACTTCATTGGTACTCGAAAACATATTTATTTTAATGTATAAAACCGTCCAACAACAGTTTTATAATGTGCACATACATAATATAATAATTATATCACTCGAATACAGTGTTCGACAGAGTCATATCCAATAATTCAATTGCCGATCGAAATCCATAAATTCGAGACGAGCTCACAATGACATGTAGGTAGATAAAACCAATACCCAATAACAATAATATCATATTATTATGACGTACGATAACAAATTTTCGAAGGCTTGTACATTTTTTTCCTTGCTGTGATTTCGTGTGTTGCTATAATATAGTGTTAGAAAACTCGTTGCTAAATTACTCGATTTAAAGATCTGTTTTATTAATATAAAAACATTATTCAAAAACGTATCCGCCAACCGTTATTTCATTTTCATGAACTCAATCTTGACCGCAATCGCTTTAACGACGTAAATATATTATACTACATCTTATTCTAAGTTATTATTAATTTAAATTTTAGTATTTTATAGATGAATGTGTTTCAACTTTAAATGATTTTTTTATTATTGTGATTATTCAAATGTATTAAATAGTTTGTAATCATAAATAGCAAAATAACGAACATAAATATTTAATTAATAAATTACTTTTTAAAACTCCGAAGAAATAAAATTATATTTTTTTAATTAAATTGATAAACACAAAATAATTAACCGCATTATGCAATATTAATATTGAAATTAATTAGTTAAAAAAAAAAAAAATGTAATAAAACTTTTAAGTAAATAACAAAAACATTTAATAGTTATTACGTACTTACAACACTATTCAAAATATTGTGAAAAAAAATTATTAATTTAATTGCAAATATCTATGAGTGATTGGTCAAATAAAATTACACTATAACATATTATTCAATCTAAATCTAAAATATGATATAAGTACAAACTATTAATTAAATATTGTAAAAACATTACAGTGTAATATTGTAATATGATGATAAGTGTGTATATTTATAATCTAAAGAAATTCAAAAAACGAATACGTATATCTTCGTATTATTATTTTTTTTTTTTTTAACCCGCAATTAAATATTGTATTTTTTTTATCTAAAATGAAATAAATTTAAAATCCCAATAGTCATAACTCATAACTTATAAAATAGTTTGAGTTTTATTTAACAGAAAATTGACTATATTTAAAACAACGTACGCCTACGGGTTAAAGGTTAATAAAATGATGGATATTTATCTTAATAGTATTAACATCCTAATGATAACAATGTATTTTTCAATCAATTAAAGACTCGAAGAATCAATTAATTAATAAAAATATTTAAAAAAAAATGTACCAAATAACCATGTGTATAGCATAGTATTCATACTTATCAGCACACTTCTTGTTTCACAATATTATTTAATATGTAGATGGGTACAACCATGCTCTAAGTAATTCAATGTAAAAGTTTTAATATACAATAAATTATTTTTATAAATTCGGTTAGTTTTAACTTTTTATTTTTATTAAATTTCGTTATTTTAAATCTTTTAATAAATCCAACAGAAACTTCAGTAGAAATATATCTTTTATCATACTTCATTCGTTTGACGTGAATTATATAAATTCCGAGTAAGTATAATCAAGTAACTCGAGATGATCTATCGTTTTTCTTCTCTTCTTTTTTATTTGTAAAACCCTTTTGTACTTAACAAGCAATTCTTCGGCTAGACGCTATTTCTTTCCATGTTTAAACATTAAGCTTTTATTATTATTTTGTGATTCAATTCTACGTGAGAGCGTTTACATGGACACGCCATATACACTCCATGAATTTCCTATCATGTCGTCATTAGTTTTTTGATGAACTGAGAACAAATCATCGTCGTTTAATTCCATCGCATAATCTGTAAATTTTGCGTTTTCTGGTTTCACTAAATTATCATCACCATAGTTGTTTATAGGTACTTGAAATAATGCGCTACGGAATGGAATATATCATTATAATGCTGTCGTTGGAGACACTCGGCTATCGATAAAACGAATTTCCTAACAATGAACCATTGCTCGAAAAACATGCTGAAATACATATTTACGACCCTCTCTACCGCACTGTATGCAACCGACGAGTCCAGAACAGGGTTGTCGTTTGCAGCCGATTTCATGGTGAATCGAACACGAGCGAACAGGCCTAAATATAAAATATTATGTATTTTATCGTATATTTTACTAGAGTATTTTACGGTGCTGACGCAGGACCATCCTCCACGCACTTAGCTCTGCATTATATTGTAATATAACTGACAGTATACGTTTGTGTTATACTACGTGCGTATTGTTAGAAACCGGAAGGAACTTCATCTCGTTTGTCCAATTAGACCGTTTCCTGTATTCACGTTATTGCGAGTTCGGCTTTGAGTGCCAGACAATGTCATTCAGTGGTGACATTTAAGAGAATGAAGTGGGCATTTTCTCTTGTCTAATACTATAAAAGCAATCTGACGGGCCAGTAGTCAGCGACACGTTAACTTAACTTATATGTTACAGTGTACATATTTAACCTAACTTCCTTATATCAGAGTCTCGAAAGTTGCAAGGAAGGTACATATTTTTTTTTAAGGGTTGATCATGCTTCTGCGTGCATTATCCATTTGTCATTATTTACAATAAGATTAAGTACTTAACTTACGAGTGTATAATATATATATATATACAGCTCTTTTGCCCTTGGACATCACTCGCGGAGTAAACGAATATCCCTTTATTTTTCATGCATTTTTTTTTAAATTCCAAACAAACTTCATTACCGTTGGCAGCTTACAATTGGCTGTACTTTTAAAATCGTTAATGAAAAAAATACAAGCATTATAATGCACATTTTCGGAATTTTCCGCTTGTATGTACAACAAATGCTCCCGCGTGCCCGTCTATTCTTTATACCAGTTAATAATATAAATATTGCTTTTATTTTTTGTAAAGGCCATTACAATATATATTATAAAATGCACTATACACGTATGCGCCGAGAAATATATTTCAAGACACGACTAGTTCTATAACAAGAAAAATAAATCGTACTCGACTTTACTTTCACGTATTTGAAAATACATATATATAAGTACAATATAATATTATATATTATTAAATGCTGTTGTTTTTCCGGTTACGTAAAAGGCGGCAGTAGTGTACAAAAACAAACATGAAACGTGATTAAAAACGTCGCGGTGTTTGGATTCAACATGAATTGTGCTTCAACGAACTTTTTCCGACTAGATTGTTGTATTATAGACGTCTACCCGTGGCCCATAATAACTTTAACAAATTTTTTAGATCGGCGAAGAAACGTTCATTAAAATGTCTTTTACGAAACTATGACGCCGTTCGCAAGAGCACTAATAATTAATATGAGATGACAAGTGCAAATTTGAATAACAGTTGTTTATTGTACGCGTTTATCATGTGATTATTTTTTCAATCTTTAAAATAAGCGTTCAATATGTTTTATTATGTTTACCGTATTACTCGGCAGTTATACATTACATTACAATATCGTCATCCAAGTTTTCCTTTATCCGCCTGCCATATAAAGGAAAACCAACGAAACGCCTTCGGGTTTGGAGAATATAATAAAACATGCAGGAAATGCGAAGAAAATAAAAACATGGGCTCGTCTATATATTTTGTTCGGTTTTATCGCATCAACAAATTTCATATGTTATTATTAATATTTGTGAACTATTTTTCTAACAGTATTATATTATTCTCATCATACCAAAAACACTTTCTGTAACGCAAATAATACATTATAAATACACATACATATTATATTGTACATAGTATACATTTCGTCATTAAACTCATTACTACTAACAGTGTGCGTGAGGACGCGTATGTGATACTGTACGGGTCACGGTCAACGTATAGTTTTCGTTGGGTTTTATTTTATATTTCTAAATTATGCGCGAGACGACTCGTGCACTTTCGACCGGACCGCAAATCGATACACTACTTTCCGCCTCGCACAAAGTTGGACGGGGCTCCGTTTTATTTTTCGTTTATTGTTATTTATTTTTCGTCGCCATCGTTTTCTACCAACGTCAAAATGATAACATAAAAACACCCAGAAAAAATGTAGTATTACATTGATTATATATACACATCATTGAGTAACGACAACAATATAATATTATGTATACACACTGTCTCGGCGACGTCAGCAGCGCAGTGCAATACCCTCACACAGACGCGAGCCACAGTCACCTACACCTGCACTCCACCCGTAAAACGGGGTAAACGGCGGTGGCGGTTGGCTGTGAAGCACCGGGTGTGGGCTTGAAGAGGGAGCTTGTGGGGCTGCGTGGCGAGGAGGGTGGTCATGGATAGGTGGCGGGTCGGTGGCGCACGCCACGGCGTATACGTATTTAAACGGATTTTCAAAGAAATCGGAAAACCCGCTGACGACCGCCGCGGTAGCAATGGCAGCGGTGTTTACCCCGTCGGATACCCTTGTGCCTAGTGTGAACGGGGGAGGGGGGTGATTCGTCGGAGAGGTCCGAGGAGAAAGTACGTAGAAGGATTAGGGGTGCGCGCGCGCAGGTACTGCACCTACGTGTATGTATGATATATATATATATATATATATGTGTGTACATAAATATATATATTTGGTGTGGGTCGCGTGACGCTGATCCCGCCGGCCGACTGCCACCGCCGCCACCCGACGACGACGACGAATACTCATGATATTATACTTATGATACTTTCTATATTATTATTGTTTATATCTACACCTTTGCATTATATAATACATTGTAACATTATCATAATATGATAACACTTGACTTACCCAGGGTCGTTGGGCACCTCCGCGGCCACGGTCACTGTGTCCTGTGCGCTCTGCGATTCCATGGTACAGACGATATAATTCGATAATAACAATAATAACTCACGCGTGCGTGTGTGTTAACTTTTGGCGGCGACCGAACGAAAGGGTGAAGCGCAATAATAGTATGTCGTGGGCGAGAGTGTGTCGTGTCTGACGTGTGCAATATATACGCGAACTAGCCGGTTGATATTATTTTATGCTGCTACTGCTGCTGATGTTGCTACTGCACAGTTCACGTGGTAGTTTCGATTTTATTCGATCGGGCGGTGGCGAAAACGAATGGCACGAATGGGTACACGACCGGCGGATAGCGAACGGATTGATTTCAAAAAATTAAATTAATTTTTGTCGTAAATCTTGACGACTCGACCTGCGCAAGAGAGAATCCTGTGCGGAGAGTATCACCCGCGTATAATAAACAAACTACAAACACGGAGACAAAATTAGAGAGAGAGAGAGAGAGAGAGACACACACATACGCCGAGAAATGTAAACGGAGAGACAGAGATAATATAAGCACGCGTACACACAATTATATATATAAATATATATATATATATTATATAACGCGAAATTGAATACGAATTTGTTGTTCACGTGGTGTCCGTTACGGTGGTGGTTAACCCGGCAGCGGTGTCGGCAGCGGTGGTGTCGGCGATTCACACGACCGGTGTCGTAATGAAGTTCACTCGATTTTTACAAGACACGTCAACTCTTTTTTGATAAAACGGCGGTTATTAAAGACGATATATAAAAATATATATACACATATATATATCTATATATATATTATTATACGTGATTTTGGGTGGTTGTTATTGTTGCTGTTGCTGTGTATAATATATAATAATAATAATAATAATATATATGTATATATATATATACACGTATATAATATAATATATATAATATATATTTTGTTCCTGCAAACTACGACTAACCACTACTGGTGGGAGGTGTGCTTTTTTGGCGCACACGGTATACTCCCGAGCGTTCGCGCTAAACGGATATGTTCGACTGAACGATGCGGCGAGTGACTGGGACCGTCGCCGTCGCCGCCGCCGCCGACGCCGCCGCCGCCGCTGTGGTTGCCGCGCGCTATGACCGCGGGCGAGGAGGATCAGGTGGCGGAGGCGAGAGGACCTCCGCAGCCGCCGCCACCTCCACCGCAACCGGCTGGAGGCGGGAACGCGCGTGTGCTATTTTTGCCGGCGTGCACGGTCCGTCGTCGTGAGTGCTGTCGTGGTGGCGCGCGCGCGCGAGATGTCGGCGGCATGCGTTCGCACAGGAAATCGCACGGCGGCGAGCGTGCCCGACCGCCGCAGTCGCCGCCGCCCGTCCTGCCGCCGCCTAAATGAGTTGCAACCAAACGGCACACGAGTCGATATTATAATATTATATTATAATATTACAATAATATAGCACATGCAACCCTATCAGCCCGAAGCGTTTGCCGGTGCCCGGAACCCATCACCCCATCCACGAAAGTGCAACTTTTCACATCGACAAGCATTTTTTATCATCAAAATACCTACGAGTAAAAATTTTCAATTTAAAAATATCGCTTTGACAAAAAATGTCTAACGTATTAAACAACGATCGTTTCAAATGAAGCATAATTTACTGCGTACTACGAAAATCATTCGCAATAGCTACGGTACAATGTGACGTCTTTGAATTTAAAAATAATCACCTTTCGAGTTGCAATACCGAAACGCAGCTTCAAAAGATCTTAGGTTAAGGAGTTTTTGCTTATAAAATCCGTCTTGAACCTGTTTGATTACGAGGAGAACACGCAGATTTTATCACGTAATAGTACAATTAAATTTAATGTTCTATAGGACCTTTGATGATAAAATTTAACGAAATGATGTCATTGATGTAATACTTTATTCCGAAAATGGCCGGAGAAAAAAACTGAAAACATCATCCATGCGTGATAGTTAAAAAATGATTAGTGTAAAATTGTTTCAAACTTAATATAATTTTCATACGCAGTTTAAATTTAATAGGTATTTAATGAACGATTAATCATTTGTAATCATTATTACTTATATTATATAATATTATAGCGTAAAACTTACGCAGATCGATATAGTTAGTAGTTTTAAATATATTATAGAATATTATGTCGATGGATAAACCAACTTGGCGGGAAAATAATTCGATTATTGGGAAAAATATACATTATAAAAGGCATTTATAAGAAGTAATCCAACCGCAGCGTATGAAACTTTGACGAAAAGTAATAATTAATATTTATTATCACGTATTTTAATGTGATGTCTTAAAACAATTACATAGATTTGTAATTTAGATGATTATAAAAAACTAAATAGTAATAGTACCAATAACATTGTTTTTTTAGACAATTTTAATACCTACCTATATATTATTATTTATTTCTAGTTGTTTTACAATTTCACTAGTGATTTGTTTACGGCGACAATGATTTACAATAGTAAATTATGAAAACTATGTTTAAATAATTATTTGTAAATAATAATTTTGATATCACAATGATCTTATAAAGCTTATAATAATTTTAAATTTCGTTAAAATGATAATCTACTCTATTATTTTGATGTTTTTAATTAATTTTCTAGTTACTTTTATAATTTGCAGATAACATTCAAAATCCAATACAACTATAAAATCAGTAAGTACCTATGTGCATAAAACATATTTTATAATGATGTGAAAATAATTTTCGCATTTATTATCATGAGTATAATACTTTAAACGTGACAGATATTTATAACACTGTAATATCGTTAAAAAGAAATAAAAAAATCATTTAAACCGTTATCAACGAATGTTTTCTAATTTGAGATCTATTTGAAATGTATTCATTACACACTGATTTTATACACATTTTTATGGTTTTTTAATTTTCAATACTTTAGGTATACCAATAGATAATTTACCCTCTCTTGTCTTGAACCAACTTTTGGTATTTTATTACATTCGCTTATTGTACTACTTTATAATTATTTTGCACAAATTTTAAATTTACCACGTTATTATCTATAAAAATATTATTTTAAATAAAATTACCTGTAACCTTTGCAGCATATATTCAGTAAATTGGTAATAGGTACTTATCATTTGTGATATTTTTATATATCGTCTGTCTTAGCCAGATTTTATAATTTTGATAAACTATACGCGAGTATAGCCAAAACTTTTGTAAAGAAATCATTAATTTTAACTTTTTTGACGTCTCTGCAGGTCTTAATTTATTAGTTTGAAGTTCGTACTAATATTCATTAATCTACTAATATATTATAAGTAAGTATAAAATATATTTAATATAAACATATATATATATATATACATAATGCATGTAATAGGTATGTATTATATATTATTTGTATATACAAGTCAAGTACTGCGAATTAAACCAAAACCAGTAATTTGTTACCACGTGCCCGTATTTTATTATAAGAGATGTCTTTTTGGCAAACTACAAATAATTTTTACTTTTAAGCATCGCGTGTATGATAGATTTGCTTGTAATTTTTGTTATATAAGCTTAATTGTATATATATATATACAATTATACATCATTGACAATACATAATATATTGTGTTAAGTTTTTCATTTTCGTCCAAAAGAATAATTTAATTTATATATATCTTACATTTTTTGTGAGTATTATAGACATCCATTCAAAATGTTGATGTATAATTCATATAAAATATAAATAATAATCTCAAGCTGCGTTAAACTTTGCCGGGTGAAGAATTGCTATCCGTGTATAATAGTGATTTGGCAATCAGTACAAAGGGTTTTCGTTCATATATATCGAACATTTATCAGAGATTCCGAAATTTCTTACGAGACGTCTTGACAGAAGTCTCGGGTTATGACGGGATTTATGAGGGTTAAGTGCACTTTCATAGAGCTTCGACATTCCCCTTGCGCCATACTACACGCACCCTAAAAATACTTTATATTCGTTTCAACAATCAAACTAAACTTATAAACTAGTTCGATTCCACTAAAAGAAAAAAATACTGCTAACAGCTTAAACACTTACATCAAATAGCAACAGCAAGTGCACAACGATGGTGTGATAGAATATATATGCTTATATATACATATGTGTAAGCGTGTGTGTGTGTGTGTGTGTTTGTATATACATATTATATAAACGCATATAGCTAAACTTTTTTGGGTGATAAAATCTTAGAGAGTAATGTAACATAAATATATTCTCGTATAATATACTATCGATATAGAAGTGTGGAGATACAAACTTCTGTTTTTAAGCGAGACCTACTTTTTTTCCGTAAACTATTTAGCAGATAACTTTTCTGAACACTTTTATGTACTAAAACTAAAATCCAATATCATACCTAATTTATACTTTTTTATTATTTTAATATCTGAGAAACTACTTGATTGATTTTTGAATTAGTTACATCCAAATTTTGTAAAAAAAAATATCTACTAAATATTATACATTAGTAAAAGAAAAATACTCATTTGAAGAATAGAAGTCTATATCACCACAGGAATACAGCACACTTCTTAAATAGTAAAAAAACTTTAAGAATTTAAAAATATGGTCTTTAAGTATATTATCTATAAATTCCTAAAATTTAAATTAACTATTAAAGAAAAAAATGAGGAGAGCAGGCTTGTTGAATTACTCTGTATATTAATATCTATATTGTGAAATCGTAAAACTCGTCATAAATGCGTATTATTTTTTATTACTATTATAATAAATCATTGAGATACTAAGAGACCTATTACATGCAAGTTACAACAAACATATTTATTAAATTTATATGTGTAATACTATGTATACACCTGTGTCTATAATAGGTAAAATAATTTTACACTATATAGTTTAAAATCTCATGGAACTCAATGAAATATTAAATAAAAAAAAGTTAATATAAAACTGTCAAAAGTGTTAATGGATTTAAATTAATATAAATATAATAAAATATCTATGTATAAATATTTTCCTTCAAAATTAATATTATGACTATTGCAACATTTGTATTTAATTATTGTAAACAATAATAGGCACATTACTTGCCTTTTCAATCGTAAGAACTTATAACATTTATACAGCTACACGTTGAACATTATAAAATGGAGAATATCTTGTGGAAGGATGAGTGGGAAAAATAGGGACGTTTTTCTCACTCCGAGAACATTTTTATATTTTTTGTACACCATTGTTAATAACATTAAATTTTCAGTTAATATGATAAAATTTAACGCTTTTAATATTATATATTATTAATAATAATATGTTAATAGTATCGCCTTAAAAATAAACACATAAAAATTAATTAATTTAGACAAAAAAAAAAAAATGACTTAATATTACGTTTGTGGTAGGAAAATGTTTGAGTATATAATTTTATGTCTATAAATATTAAATATACTATACAATTTTTAAACTATTCGTGACACACAATAACTGAGTATAAAAGTTTATTCGTTGAATTTTAATCAATGCGCGTATCGCGTACTATACCTATATACATATACACTCGTTTATAATACACGTGCACGAATGAATATAATTCAACGAAGTAAACAATTTTTATTATTATTATTATTATTTTCGCAACGAGAGAAACCACTCAATAATCGTATCGTCTATAACCACGGAATGAAAAAAACTAAAAAAACTAAACAAAAATAAAAAGTATTTTCAACTTTATCCCACGCGTGTACGTATATATATTCGACTGCAGTATGAATTCATAAGGGTATCAATATTTTAGCATGCAATTTGATGTTAACCCGAGATGCATTGAATTTTGAAATTGAATTTACATCCCAAAGAG